CCCTCCCCAGAGGGCCGGCTCCAGCCTGGAAAGGAGGGCGGGCTGGGGGCGCCCAGAGCCCTCCTCCCCCGCGCCGCAGCCTTCGAGCCCGGCAGGGAGTCACGAGTCACTGCAGGCAGCCTCGCCCAGGGCAGGGGAGGTGGGAGTAACAAAGGAAGTCGAGCGAAGGTGGCCTCACCAGGGGCCCCTACTAACCTGTGTAATCCCTGCAAAGCGGCCCCGGGCCGGAGCGCACCCCGTTTCGCCTCAGATTGCGGGAACCCGTGGTTTGGAGTGGCGCCGAAGGATCCACTGGTGACCCTTCCCCTCAGTAACAAGAAGGAGGGAGTGAAAGGAGCCCCAGCCATAAGCCCAATGCCACCATCCAGAGGGTTTTACATTACTCAGAAAAGCACTGACGGCAGCGGGCACGTGGCTACTCATTCATTCGCTCAACATTCAGTTTACTGAGCTGTCACCATGTGCCAAGCACTGTGCCACGCGCTGGGAGGACAGCGTGGAATCCTGAAGAATACTCTCCACCCTGCCCTGGGAGCTTGCAATCTAATTCGGAAGACAGACGATAAAGAATTGAGAAAATAATCAAATCTGGGATAAGACCTGTGCAGGAAGAGGGTGCAAACTGTGGTTAGAAAGTAGACGGCAGCGGCGGCGGCATGTAAGCTGAGTTCTGAGAATTACGAAAGAAGCAACCATAAAAAAGAGCCAAGAAAAAATCCCTCCAGAAAGAGGGAGCAGATGTACGAAAGCCAGAAGGAGGGGGCAAATCTTGATGTCTTGGAACTAAGGTGGTGATTGTAATGGACACCAGAAGAGCTGGGGAGAGCAGCATATATAAGATTGGACGGATTGTCAGGGTGACTGCATCCTAGTCACTGAGCAGACCATTTTATTCCAAAATAAATGGGAGGCCATCGAATGAATGGCTTTACCCTGGGGCATGACATGATCTGATTTCTATTTCTATTTTCTTTTGGGAAAATTGTAGATTGACATGCTTTTATAAGAAATAAAACAGATCCTATGTACCCCTTACCCATTTTCCTCCAATGCAAAACTATAATGAGATGACAACCAGAATATTGACATTAGTACAACCTATCAATCTTATTCAGATTTCCCTGATTTACTTTCACTCGTGTGTGTATTTAATTCTATACAATTTTATTACATGTGTAGGCTCATGTACCCACCACTACAGTCGAGATATAAAATAGTTGCATCATTACAAGGATTCATCCTGTTGCTCCTTTATAGCCACAGCTACTTCCCCAGTCCCCTCAGTCCCTCAACATTGGTGGCCATTAATTTGTTTTTATTATTATTATAATATTATTATTATTATTATTATTATTATTATTATTACTACTGAGTAGTATTCCAGGCCTGACATATTTTTAAAAGACAGCCTTGACCACCATGTGGAGAAAGATTCAGAAGAGATTGAAAATTGAAACATGGGAACTAGTTAAGGAGTTTTTCCAATAGTCTCTGTCAAAACTGATGGCAGTTTAGATTAAGATGTGCCTGTTGTGGGAAGTGGAAGGGTTTGAAGAGGGAATTAAAGTTGAAGTAGAGACAACATAGTATAGACAACCGTTTTGAGACATTTCACTGTAAAGGGGAACAGAAGTGGAGTGGAACAGGAGGGACAGGTAGGGACAAAAGAAGATTCTCCCTTTTTAATTTGACATATGAGAGTATGTTTAGGAACAATCAGTAGGGAGGGATTACTGATGAGAGAAAAGGGCTTACTAAAGGAGTTGAGTCCCTGCCGGAGATGAAATGAGAGTTGGATTCCACAAGGAGGGATGGGCCCCCCACCTGCTGAAAGGCATTCCCTATTATAAAGACCATGGAGATATTTGCCGGTCAGGTGGTGGGGTAGGGAGCAGCTGACTGTGTGTAAAGATCAGGCAAATTCAGTCTGATGACTCCTATTTTCACCACAGTGCACAAACTGGGTGCTGGCCTCCCTTAGGAGAGAGCATAAACCAGGGGCTTGAGCCTCTCCTTTTCCCATTCCAAACCCTCAGAAGCACTGAAGTTTGGTCTTTCTGGATGGTCAGAGAAGCTCCAGTTTCACACTTGCTAGGAAAAACAGAAGCTGATCCACCCCACCCTGATCTCAAGAACCATCAGCTCCGGAGCAGGTAACTCCCCAAATATAATACCAGCCCAGTCCCCAGCCCCAAAATAGCCAAGAGGTGCCCAAGCTCAAGGGTTTTGGATGAAAGACCTTCTTCCAAGGAAACTTCTGGCCATCCTTTGGCACTTCATCAGTCTTAGTTGTCGTTCATTACTCACAAGACCCCTTTCTTCCCACTTTCTTTCTCCATCTTTCCTTTCCCCTCTTTTCTGACTTCCACCTTCTTTTCTGCCTCCCCCACTTCTTTCATCTCTTCCTCCCTTCTGCAGATACTCATGATGTGTTCCTACTAGCTGCAAGGCACGAATCTCCCACATTGCCCAGGCTTGGTCTATACCCAAAGTCAGTGCTGCCTGCCTCTTAACATTTCATCTCCTCGGATTTGCACTCAACTTTTGTGGGTCATGGGAACACATTGTTCCACTTAAAATATGTGGGAGACTGTGTTGTCTCTTAGTGTGACTTAGTTCACTTAGCATAAGCAAAATGAATAAAAGGAAAAAAGGCTTCCCAAATTGTGAATTTGTGTGCTACATTCTGTTAATGTGTTTCCAGCATCAAGGAGCAAAAAGAACTTTGTTTAATTTCTTTCAGGATGGCTAGATTCAGATGTATGATCTCAGATCTGATCTTTTTCATTTCTGTTTGAGTAAGAAAATAGGCATGAGGAGAAGGCTCTTAGATTTCAACAGAATTTAAAGCACCCTTGGAAGGAAATACGAAGCATTTATCAGCATACACAAAATAATCAAGTTCTTTACCTTCTTTTCAAAATACCATTATGACTAATGATTCTAAGTTATTGAAAGTGTAATATATACCAGACAGTTTACATGCATCATTTATTTACTCTGCATTTTATTTACTGTTCATGTCAGATACTATTATCCCTACTGTGCAGATGAGAAAACTGAGGCTGAAAAAGTTTAAGCAACTCTGGAGCCAGGATTTAAAACCAAGTAGTGTGGCTCCAGAGCCCACAATCCAAACCAGTATACTACACTTCCAAAACAGTGACAGAACAGATTTAACCACTTTTACTGTGGTCATCCAAAGTGGCCGCTTCTTTCTAGGAAGTGATTTCTTTTTTTCAAAGTAATGATGAGTTTTCCATCTCAATGACTTTTCCCTATCAATGGAAATCACAGAGTTCAAGTGTCTCCTTCCACAAGGGGCCTCAAGCCTACAGACAATTGCTCCATTTCATGATCACCACACATCAAGGCAATGGAGAGCCCGGTGTAACATATCTACCTCTCCAGACAGCCTTCCCTCCCACTTCTCTCTCAGTCCCTATGGGTCATCAGTCTAGGATCTAGGAGGATTTTGAAACGCATCCTATGCATTCCTTACTCTGGAAACCTTTGTTACTGTGGTTCCTTCTGCCTAGAATAGAGTTTCAATGACTTCCTGGACATCTGTGCATTTAACAGGTATCTATCTCCCCTTTGCCTGCCCCCACCCTGACCTATTTCTCTTCCTGTATTCTGTATCTGTGTTAATGGCATACCACCCCTAGCCCCCTACAGGTGCCCAAGATAAAAGCTTCCTTACTTACCTTCGACGCCTTCTTCATGTCCAATAAATTGCCAAGTCTTATAAATTCCACTTGTGGAAAAGTCAAATCTCACCTCCTCTTCCAAGGCGTCCTAGGCAAAACTCAGGATTAATTAGTGCATAAACCATGGCACTTGGTTTATATTGTTAGTATAACCGGTAATTGTTTACAAACCTGATAATTCCAGAGGTCTACTTCTTCCACTGGATGATAGGCTTCTTGAGGGCAGACAATATGTCTTTTCTATTTATACCTCCAGTTTCTTAGAACATGGTAGGCATTAAATTAATATTTCTTTTTTTAGTATTTCATTTTGATAAATTATAAACATATTCAAAATAGAGAAAGTGGTATAATGAACTTACAAGTCCCAACGCCCAGCTTTTACAATTATCAACACAACCAGTTTTATTTCATTTACATTCATCTACCCATTCTCTCAATACACACACTAGACTTTTTTAAAGCAAATGCAACACATCATGTCAGTCCATTCAGAAACATTTCAGCACATATTACTAAAAAATAAAGACTTTCTTCTTCTTTCTTTCTTTCTTTCTTTCTTTTTTTTTTTTTTAACATAAGCGTGCTGTCATTATTACACCCCAAAGCAATGAACTAAAATTCCTTAATATCAGCAAATACCCAGTCAGGATTCAGAATTCTCCAAATGTCTTCCAAATGTTTTTTACAGTTTATTTCAACCAGGATACTTTTAAAGGCTCATTTATTATATTTGGTTGATATGTCTCCAGTTAACTGTTCTTGGAGAATGGATGGATGAATGAATGAATGAATCCTCCCTACCTTCTCTTAACTTCAGTCTTCCTAGTCCAAATTCTGTCCATTTTACAAAGACCCATCTATCTGAGGCCAGAACCTGCTTGAGCTCCTCTCTGATACCCTAGCTAAGAGTAATCTCTCACTTTTCTCATAGCATTTTTCAAAATGTCTCTTTCTCCTATTACATTTAACCTTATATAAGGATTTTATGAAGAGAGTTTATCTCTCCTATAAAGTTTTCAGCTACTTGAATAAAATGCCGTAATCACTATTGTATATCTAGTGGCACCCAGCACACAGCCTTGTTCGTATTAGACAACCAAATAAATTGTTTCTAAACTGAATGGAGTTTAATTAAAACCAGCATTCATAGAATCCTTAGTTTCTTGGGTATAGTCAAAGGACCACAGGCTTTGAAATCTTGCAGACAGGAGTTTAATTCTGAGCTTGGCCACTTATTGGTTGTACGGCCAAGGGCAAGTTATAAACTCAGGCGTCTTCAAACATTTTGCTAATGACTATACTAAAAAGAGAAGGACTAAAAAATATATGTCGACGGAGAAGACCTGACTTTAGGTGGTAAGCACACAATGCAATATACAAATGATGTACTACAGAATTCTACACTTGAAACCTGTATAATCTAATTAACCAATGTCATCTCAATAAATTTAATAAAATTTTTAAAAAGTTTTAAAAAGACTAAAAACAAAAAAGTGCTTGTTCACATGCTTCCTAAAATAATTTTGAAAAACTGTTTACCTCCTTACATATTGTAAATTGATATCTAAATCTGTTTTCATCCCATGCTTAAATAGTTACAAAGGACGATATTTTTAGTGTATCGTAAATATCGACATTTTAAAATAAAGAGGT